CGTATTCGTTTTCATTGGTGGTTGGAATAGAACTAGGCAAGGACCCATATTCGGTTTTCGGTTGAAATGTCATAAGAGATCCAAAAGACGAAAGCTTTTCTTATGATAAAACTAGCAAAGGAAGAAAGTGCTACTACGCTACCCAAAGACACGAATTGCAGTAAACGTCGGTTAATGTCATGTCCGACGTCTATAGAGTCCTTAGACGTCGGTTTTGGTGTAATCCGACGTCTACAAGGACGTCGTTAACGTCACCCATAAAAACGTCGAATCGAAATCTGATGCTAAAAATCCAAAATAACAAACGTCTAAAGCACTTTCTGCACGAGTTACGTCCGCCTTTTGTGTGTCTCCGACGGAATCTGTAAACGTACTTAAACATCATGAGAGCCTTTGATACTATGCATAAGTCTATATACTCTAAACATATAACTTTTAGCATCTTTCCATTTGATATAATTTTATTAAAATAATCAAAATTTTAAATAAATTAAATAATTGGTATGTGACGATACTACAATTTAAGGATCTCTTTTCCAAGACTCACACGTTATAAACAAATTTATATAAAAATCATGACATCATTTTTAATCTCTTTTTTTTCTTTAACACTTTCATCCATTTTAATTCTAACTCTTTAGTTTATACTTAACTCCAACACAATCAACAGAAATATTATTATCACATTAAGATTAATTTATTAACACATTATTAACGTTAAAAATGGAAATGATTTAGGATAGAGACAGCATTGTAGATAACGAACGAATGACTAAAGAAGATGGAATGTGCAAACGTTTTTCCGACAAAAGGAAAACATTGTAACCAACAGAAGTGGCGCGGCAGCTGGCGCCTCACCTAGCGACAAAAACCAACCACGCAAAGCAAATAATTGAATAAAACAACTATAACAAAATCAATTTCACATGTCTTATCACTTTAAATTAGAGTCTAATGTATATATATTTTGTATATGAGATTGAATATTAATGAATAATTTAATAATGTTTAAAACTATATTTTTAATAAATAACAACTTTTATTAAAATAAGTTTTAAATCATGTGTGTCTAATACTATATTAAAAAATAATCTTTAAATTTAATTTAATCAAATAAAATTAGTTTATAAAGTAAAATTTATATTAACTTTTATATTTTAAATTGATTTTTTTTTTACATTAAAATATTTTAGGACGAGTGAATGTATCTTAATGAACTTTAAACAATTTATTAAGCAAGTTAGGTAAGGTGTGGGTTCTACTCATTCGACTTGAACGCGTGGACACTGTCATCAATGCCACAAATCTTTCGACGAGCCATCGATGTTTATCCGACTACTTCATTTAACTAAAATGGTTGAAAGTGTTTGAAATATTTTTGGTGGACAAAAGGAATTAAGGTGAATGGAGTTGGATTTAACACCAAAATCAGCACAACCACTGTTTGAGGGAGATGGTGGAGGTTACTACACTTGGTATACTTCCCAAATGCCAATTCTGGCTACGACTTATGTGGGTGCTGGTCGTCTTCTTCTTCACCCTCGTGGCTTTGCCTTTCCTCATTATGCAGATTCATCCAAAGTAGGTTATGTCATTCAAGGTCAGAACCCTTACATATATATCTTTTCTATTCTCTCCCCGCTTTTCACCATATATACATACAAACCTTAACTTCCAGTTACTAAGTTGTTTATATAAGAAACTTTGCAGGGAGTGATGGAGTAGTTGGGATGGTTCTCCCCGACGGCAAAGAAGAGGTGGTTGTGAAACTAGAGGAAGGAGACGTTATAGCAGTACCTGTTGGAGCTGTCTCCTGGTGGTTCAACGATGGAGACACAGATCTGATCATTGTTTTTCTTGGAGAAACTTCAAAGGCTCTTATTCCTGGTCAATTCACTTATTTCCTTCTAACTGGAGCTGTTGGAGTTATAGGAGGTTTCTCATCTGAGCTCACCAGCAAAGTGTATAACTTGGACAAAGATGAGGTTCAAAAGCTCACAAAAAGTCAAGCTGAGCTTTTTATTGTTAAACTAGACAAAAATCAGACACTGCCTAAACCCCAGGTTGACATAACCAAAAAGCTTGTGTATAATATAGATGGTGCAGAGCCAGAAAATGTAGTTGAAAATGCTGGATTGGTGAAAACCTTAACGGAGAAAGAGTTTCCTTTTATCGGGGACACTGGTTTGAGTTTGATTAGAGTGAAACTTGAAGCTGGTGCTGTTAAGGCTCCTTCATATGCAACAACCATTGCGATTCAATTGATTTACTTTGCCAGAGGAAGTGGCAAGATTGAAATTGTGGAGTCTAATGGAAAATCTGCATTAGACACTCATGTTAAGGCTGGTGATTTGTTTGTGGTGCCGCAACTTTTTGTCGTGGCTAAAATTGCAGGAGAAGAAACGATGGAATGTTACTCCATTACAACAACTACAAAGTGAGTTTCCGCTGGTTTTTTATGCAACTTT